ACTTCAACGTTTTTTGCGGCGTCCGGAGAAAATACTTAGTGCAGAAAGCGAAATGACTTAAACCGCTGGGTCTTATTTTCCCTATTTCGATACCAAAACAGTACCGCGTAAAAACAAATGTCCGTTTTCAGTACAGGAAAAGGACGAGAAAATTACAATGCATAACGGGCTGAAGGTTTCAAACGATACAGGTTGCCACTAAAATGTGTCGTATCGGTTTAGGATACGGAATGCAAAAACTGCCTACTGCTGACTGAAGTTCCAGAACGATTGCTGGGCAAACGCTGCCTTCTTCCCTTCGCCTGGCGGCGGCCTGCACTGGGCGATTCGTCCACTGAGACTCCCTCCCGCTCACGCAAATGCGCACAATTTGCAAGAAAACACGAGCCTGGATAACAAACGCTGCCGGAGAGAGATGCCGCCCGGCCGCTAGAGAGACCGGAGGCAACAGCTGGACATTCTGGGACGCAATGCTGGAGATAGACGGATTCGCGTCCCGGGCCGAACTAACACTGAGAACCCCCCCCCCAAAAAAAGGTCAATGTTTTTTCAGGTATTATATTGGCTTAATGGTTTAATACATTAAATATAACTAGTGGCCTGCAGCAGCAAAAATGTTGCCGGACAAAACCGCACAAAGTGTTTTTCCAAAAAGTAGTAGGTTCATTGCTCAAGAACAAACAAATACTGTGTAATTCTGCAATAAACTATTTTCACAAAAATAGTAATTGCGGTGCCACAATTAAAGTGTAGAGTATGTCCAGTACACATTTCTTTTCATACCAAATACTAGAATAACAAAAAAAGTTGCTGGCCCATAACAAAACACGTAAATAGCAAATATTTAATGGAGGCCTGCCTCTTTCTTGGAGCCTTGCTGACGTATGATGTCATCAGTGTCGTAAGCAATGGCGCGGACGCAATAATCCAGACAATATGCGCAGTGTGAGAGTATATCACAGTATTGAAGGCGGCTTTGAATCCAATATTTTTGTCACCAAGCACTTCGATACCACTGCTATTTGAAAAATTCAATCTAAGTCGCATTCATCCTTGAATTCTAAACTATGCTCCCTCTCGTGTCGATAACAAGTGCACGGTAACTTTCACACCCCCAAATCATGTTAGTGCGATTTTGTGGCACAAACAAGCATATTCCGAATAGTTTTTTTGTGTCTTAAAGCACAAAGTCTATATGGAATTTATTGCTCTATCTCAGAAGTTCCCGTACCTCTCACTACGTTCGCTGAAACGTCTCCCATTACCATCGAGTTTTCTCTTTGGATGCCTATGGTTGCTTCCCCTATATCTAAAATACCCAGTAAAACAAGCGTTCTAATCTAATCATTTACTTAATAGATTTAAATTTATAATCTTCCTTCCAAATAACTGAACTATCGACTTCTCTGACATCTGCTGTGTATTTGGATATCCCCAGTATTAATTTATAAAAATCGGTTTCAACGCGTTCCAGTTCATGTAATTTATCAACTCCTTCATTTTCTGCCCCATAATTTATTGCCGAAAAAGCTAGGAATTTGAACTTTGTGCCGCGAACGTTTTCAAGAAAGTCAGCAAATAGGCACATAATTTGCATAACTGACATGGCTTTCTAACAAATTATCATAAAAATTCCCATTTTAATTAACTGGAAAGTCAGGAGTTATTATTTTGAATAACTAAATTTCAGAAAAGTATATTTCTTAAAGATTTCATGTCATCTTTTTTCACAAAAAAAGTTCCATAAATTTTAATTAAGTCATTACAACATAAGTATTTATTACTCTTAAAACAATATATCTACTACAAAATGCACTACATCGAACTTGACGTGTAAAATAAATAAATGTAAAAAGTAACAGAACATGCATAAATCAAATTATTGCAATAATTCGTTAACAAAGGGTAGCCTTTATTCTTACAATCACAACACACTCACATTCGTTAATCATATTAATAACTAAACATGACCCGGCAAAGAACAAAAAAATGGATTTTCAACTTAACAATTCAAACATTATGAACAAATAAATACATATTTTGAGACAGTCTGAAGAAATTGGCACATTAGCTATTGGGTTTGAAATAATACAAATTTATGAGAAACAATATTTGTTACTAATCCAGAACCGTGCACATTACTGTATTGTCTGTGCTACATTTCATATGTTTTAATACACCTTCAGCTGATTCTTCTCGTCAAAGCCTGCAGAATGCCCTGCGTTCCTGACTATGAAGTTTACTCCGTCGTAATGCATGCGCCTTTCGCCCCGCCGAACAAATAAATGAGATGTTTGCCCCATGGAGGCGGTGCAGTGCAGGAACGGGGTGGAGAGGGAGGCTGTGCCATTGGAGGGGGACGTTCGCAGTTGATATTTGCTGTTACTACGAGCAACTCTGCAAGCGATATAATCGTTTACAATCAATTCATAACTTAATTAATACGGATCATCATTTCAGTCATCTAAAAGGCAGTTAATGTGTTGAAATGGTTATTTTCCCAAGAATTTAATGTTTCACTTCGATAAAAAGAACTGTTTGGTTTAAATTCTGTGGTGGAACCGGTTCTGTGTTCTGTTATTTCACTTCTATTACTACAATTCTTACGAATGATAAATATCGCAGCTCGTAAACAATAACATATGTACTCCACTGCTATCCAAAATTTCAATTTCTGGATTGAATGCCTTCAAATAATCATACTCCGGGACCAATCGTTAATACTAAAAATGTCATTAAGTTACATTAACACCAATCCGATAGGTATTTTTAGCGTGCCGAATAAATTATTGGACTGGTTTGCGGGGCGGATTCAAAGGGTAAACCTTAAATGATATTTCCTGAAGTGACCGACATGTAAGTTCTTATTTAGAAATGAGACAACGATGTGACCACTCAATTCAGTCGCATTCATCGTTGAGGTTTAACACTCGGTCTCCTCTTAACTACTTTCTAATAATAATTTCTACATTCTACTATTTTCCATTGTCATTCTACTCACTGTGGTCAAATAACGTAAAGAAATATTTAATTTTTATGATTGAACCCGTACGAGTAGACATGTCTTGAAACAGATCACAAGTTAAAAATTGAGCATAAACTAAAACTTACTGTTGAAAATGATTAAATAGTTAAATTAAAAATTGTTGAATCGGTTATTTTCTCCCAATCTTACTATTAACACATAACACAATTTAAAAAAAATTGTGTATTCCTGTTAATTTTTACATAGTATACAAATTATTTATACTACTGGTAAAAGCGATCTTTTATTTTACGAGTAGGAAAGGAGTTGTATCACGAGGCCGGAGCAATCCCATGACCAAAATAAAATCACGTACCATTTGTGTCATACACTATTTTTAGACTGTCTTACTGACTTCCATAGTATACTAATCTCATTAAGGTCAATTTAGTGGACGTGGTCGTTTTCAGTAGTGGCGGTCGAGAAACAAACTCTGTACCTACTGCAATGTAATTGACAACAATCATGACTAGAAAGCAGTGAATCAGTAGACGTAAACGAACTGTTGCTGTTTTCAACCACTTAAGGAATAGGGACTCATTGTGTTTCAAAAAGAAGTGCATTTTACAAACGAAGAAGTGACTACCATTTATATTAATACATTCTGTTACGAAAGCTTCCCTTATTCATTACGTGGAATTTTCCCAATGAATTCGGCCCTGCCGCAATGTTATTTTAACCCGGGGAGTGGCCTCGTTCATACACGGCTAGCAGGGAGTGAGGAACTTTTAGACAAATGTATTGCACAGAAGTCTTTTATATTACGGGGATCACTCCAAAAGTAATACCCAACAAGTTTTTAAGCATTCAATTCATTTTCCACATCTGTTCTATTTTTACTGTATATTTATCCATATTTGAGGAACAAAAAGACTCTCTGGCTCTCGTTGTTCAGTAGCAAAATCGCTTGCCTTTCATTGAGGTTACGGGTTCGATTCCCGAAGAACATCATGTGAAATTTGTTTGGACAAAACGAGTTTGCCTGCTTCAAAGGGGCTAGTTGAACCCCGCGAAGCGTCCAAAACCCCCTTCCCAATTCTGGCCGATAGGCCAGACTTAGCCGCGTGCGAGACGCGAGCGCGAAGACGCTACTTATGGGCGATTCCCTGACTTGACTGCAACTGACGTGACTTGACTACCAAGCGGACCCTATGTGGTGCTGGGTGCATAATAAAGGAGGGTTACTCCACGGCACTCAACGCTTCTAGGAGGTAGGAGACGTAACAAATAAAAAGTCACCTCTTCGTATTATCTACGTCTCTTTCTACTGCCTTACGCCACCTTGGAACAAGGGCATGTACTCGTATACCCGCACAATAGAAATCCAGACCCACATGTCTGAGTCACTATTTAGTAACCCCCACAAGGGAGTCATCAACTCCTGGAACCCACCTGACACAAACCTTTTTCAACGGCAGATCTTTCAATATTCTACACACACTTGTTTCTCCTATCCGCACATCCATTGACAGTTATTTCACGGTGACACGTTTTGTCAGCCAAAATGAGGTTGTGACTGCGCTGCACCTTGTCAGAAAAATGTGAAGAGCGCGGTCTGCCGTTGCGGGGCGATCCTGAGTATTCGCTCGCCCTAATCCATTAGATAGTCTGGAAGCCCACCGACCGCGATCCACAACATCAACTCCATAAACCTTTTTTAACTTCATGTGAATGTTTGTCCCTGCCCTCTCGTATTCACAGCATAGGAACTCTATCACAACACGTTGCTCGGGCGAACATCTAATCGCATGCATTCTAGCAAGCAAGCAAACATTTAAAACAAATTCTACGAGAGCAAAAATTGCGGAAACAGGTTGAATTAAATTTGAAGTCAAGTGACAAGAATGTTTCTACGAAATTTGTAAAGAGCAAAGGCAATATTTTTTTTTAATTCATGTGCATTACTTTTGAAGTGATTTCGTAATAAATTAATATTTTACCCATTTCTAACAGTGATTTACAGACTATGTGAGAAATAGGAATACTACCTTACATGTACGATTACAATACTACCTTTTTTTACGAGTCAAAACGAGGAAGTAAAAGGATGTGTTCTCTCATGTACAAATACACAGTCTATGAACTATCAAGTGAAATTGCCGAAATTCTTAATCGTACCTTACAAGACCATCTTCAGTTTGTGACACTCTAACGTTATTGACAATCCAGTTTTCTATGCCCTTATCTGATACCCAAAACATCGAGGTCTGGAGGATGGACATAGCTTCTTGGAAGTACGATGGTCCGTGACGAGAGTCGTTGTAAAAGACTGGTATCGAAAAATCGTGTACCATGTTGCAGAAATTATCTGTTGTGGTGCGTGTTCCAGCGGCATCCACTAAGTAGACCAGAGCACATTGGTCTGAAGTGAAGCTGACGCCTTTGTACCACATTTTCGCAAATCTGTAAATTGTGGAACCAAAGTTGCTAAATCTTTAAAATATCTTGGGTTTTAATACAGGTATTCAATTTATTCAAAGACCTGTATGTAATTTCTACATCATTAACATGTACAATTTGAAATTAAATTATCCATGCAAAATTTCACACAGTCTAAAGTCAATGCTTAAAAATCACAGATTAACAGACAACATTTAATGAACAGGGTAATATCTCAATTTCTCGCAGATATAAGCATTTAATTCCAAACGAAAGTTACTTTTTACGTGTTAATATTGCTTGAAAAACTAAAAATTACCAAATAGTGACTTAAGCCCATTACCAAATAGTGACTTATGTCCATGCATGCACCAAAAACATGTCAATCGCAAAGAGGGTACGTATAATTGGGGAGGAGAGTAGAAGATGGATCTTACAAAATTGTTCTGAGGCTTACTCTAAACAATGACAATTTTTGGGTATGTTTTTGTTGAACGTCCTCTTGTAGTGTTCGCGCACGGAGTCTGTACACAGTAAAGAGACTAGCCACTGATGCCGGATCTGTTCCCGAGGTAATTCAGTCGACTCGTAACATATTATTCGTGAAGAGGGAAATAATAATATCCATATCGTTAGGGCTAACAACCCTGGAGGATAATAATCGGATCTAGATAAATCCTGATCCCATGATAAATTACATGCTTCTGCCACCGAGATAATGTTTCTGAGCCCTGGTAAATGCAGGGTGAACGCGTGGTTTAAATCGGTCTCTTGGTGAACAAAAAAATAGTAGTTATAGTAGTAGTAGTAGTAGTAATGATGATGACGATGACGATGATGATGATGGATGATAATAATAATAATAATAATAATAATAATAATAATAATAATAATAATAATAATAATAATAATAAATGGCTAAGATTCGTTGCTGCACTAAAGCACTAAAGTTGGATTACTTGTTGTTGCCCGTGGGGTCATGCGCGAGGATCTCCACGCGGCTGCCGTACTGGTAGACGCGGCCGTTGGGGTGCAGCATCGCGCTGGCCGAGCCGTTGCCGTTGAGGCACAGCACGACGTTGTTCTTGAGGTTGATGACGCGCACGGCGCGGTCCACGGTGAGGTCGACGCGCACCCGGTCGCGCAGCCGCAGGGAGATGGTGCCGCTGGCCGTCACCACCACCGGGCTGGCGTCCGGCGACTCGCTCTCCCGCCAGCTCTCCTGCCACCCACCACGCGTATGAATTGAGGGGAACCACGCACGTCACTGAATCTAAGAACTGTAGGAGGTGGTTAAAAGAGGCAAAGTTGGTCAAATCGTGTTTAGTACATTTGATTACGAGCTAGCGGACTCGGCAATGCTTCGCTATTGTAGGGTATTAAATAAATATAATTCAAGTTCAAAATCAATGAAGATTAAATAAGAATTAACTATATTTTAATTACCCTTTAGTTAAGTATTAACTACACTTTAGTAAATTAAACAATACTTCAAAAATCAAATATTCCAATATAATAATGTTGAGCAATAATGACAGCATTTGGTTCAAACTTTCTACTTTCTAGACCGCAACTTCGATGTGTTTCGATTTTATGAGTCGATGAGAGGTGTATAATTCAAAAGGATAGCCATAGATTGCAAAAATAACGCTCCCCACTGTCCGATTTAATTCAATCCACTCTTTAAATACACCGGATAAGAACGAAGTGTGGTCGAGTTTGTCGAGTAGTCGAGTTTGCACCTATATGCGACAGACACATACACACACATTCTCATTTATTTATACCATGTAGATTCAAATAGCAACAGTAAGTTGATGTGTTTCTTTTTCTAAAGCAAAAATGGGAGACGTTATGTGAGTGGCAATTTTTGCCTAGCATGAATACGTTACGCAAACCGCTAACAGGTACGTAACCACTGGGATTGGACCATTTAACGTTTACGAGATGATTGCATTTTGCGCAATTCCCTCCTATGATATTTCAGTGAAACTTGTTCCGAATTGTATGTATGCAGGAATCGCAAAATTAGTCACGTACGCCATGGCCATTGAGGAAAATAAAGGAGGGGAAACATGTTTGAGAGTACGAACAAGGGCGAGGATTCCCAACCTTCTGCATTCATCGACCCCTTTTCAAAGAATCGTTGCCCTAATTTCCATCTACTAGTACCATTTTAAGTATTCCATGCGTTTAGACTACTTAAGAGATTTATTAGATATTTTTTATGAAAGAAATACGAATACGGAAACATCCGTATTAACCTAACGCTTGTGAAATTTGAGCATGTTGTTTCTGCATTCTATTTTTGAAGCAAGTGTTGTCAATATGTCAATTGTGGTATATGTGGTTCCGGTTCTGTTGACAGAGTAGAATCTGATCAGCTGGAGAAGTCAAAGAGCAAGAGATCTGTATTGCATGAAAACATCATGAAATAAGTCAGTTTTGAAAAATACTATCGATTCATAAATGAATGGGCAAAGCAATGGTAGTTTTCTAAGATCAATAAATAGTTTTTTCTTTATACTAAAATGTACACTAACTTTCCGCGACAAATGTGTACTCCTTTGCAGACCTTGCTGAATTTAAGCTTTCAAATCTTGCCTGTTTTTTGCCATTAAATTGTGTGATTAAAATAACGCGAAGAAAAAATGTACTTTAAAAATCCAAATAATATTTGAAATTCGGGTTAGGATATATAGCTTATTTCAAACTTATCTGCATATCTGGAATACAATAAAGAACCATATGGTCTGAATTACATTGTGCTCTATGTATAAATATACTTAGAATCTCTAAGCGTATCAACAATATACTGGAAACCATTCCTGTACGTTCGTTATAATTTTAAAACAGGTTGCGACAATAAAGGATTGTATATGTAATTTAATAATTACAGATTTAAATAATACCATAAATTAATCAGACTTAATATAACGGACATATACCGTTATAAAATACATGATACCGTTATGGAATTCATACGAATTCCAATTGTTCTTATTTTATTAAAAACTTAGATAATGTTAGGTCTAATTAAATAGTCATTTTAAACTATTGATTGGTAAATTATCACTTAGGTAATTTGTACTTTCCTTAAAAGTAACTTGTCATGAATACAATGTTTGATTTCATATCTCAGTTGATTCGATTGATCATGATATTCGTATAACGGAAGATTCTGTGCTCAGATACAGGTGGACTCAAATATTTGCACTTTGTAACAATTCATTTTCAGTATGATAATTTAATGCATTAGTTGTCTCACAATCTTCACAAAAATTATTTCTAAAGACGAACTACATCTCATTTTTTTTTCAAGTCATTCCATTGTGTTCAGCTAAATCCATTCTTGGCAATTGTACCGTATATAAACTGGATTTGTTTAAATAACTGTTAACTCGTGAAGATAAAATTATAATTGTATTAATAGAGATGTGTAGATTTGTATGTCAAAACCTGTTTAGAGTAGTGCAATGTGAATAGAATACAAAATTATTATTTTTTACCTGTACTATGATCGTCTTCTTAGAATACATTTTATGAATACTGAACTGAATAAAGTATATTTTTATATAATTGTTAGTTGATTCTTCCCCTAATCAATTTCTTTCGGGCGTGCAAATAGCGGAATACGTGATATTGAAAGATCTTCATTGGATAAAGTAGACCTCGCACCTGTGCCGAGTGGAACACCGATCAACAAGTTTCCGATCTGGCCAGACAGTGCAGGGCTGTATTTTCCTTAGGTGTCTGCTCTAATCTCAATACGGCTTTCGTTGGATTTCCCCAGTACGCGATTCGTGTATACGTTTGAAGATGTTGATGTATGATGATTAATAACAATGAAGGTTGTGGATGGATATTTAAGGAAAGGTGGAAAAGTCGGGAGAGTCGCGAGGGAACCTAATCCCAATAAAGTAGAAGCGTTGGGAACCCACTCTTTCCATCCCAACCCGACCGAAATTTCAACCATGAAATCGAGAGCTGGATCACGTTACAAAGGAGAGCGGGCAGCTAGGGTAACTCGTATTTTTTCATTCAAAAATATAAATAATGACATCTAATTAAAATTAACCCTAAAAGCCATTTCTTAGGCTTGAAGAAATAAATTAGTTTCAACTGAGGGGGCGTGGACTTTCGTTTGAAATAATGGGCTTCCCCAGATTCTATCTCAGGCCACTTGTTTTTTGTGAGCGCCCCTGTCGCCATGGATGGCCTCCGAGAAAGGAGAAACAACCCTATAATATTCATGAAAATGTGGATAATTGAGATGCTGTAATGGTGGAACAACAACCGCTTCTAAATCCACGGCGTCTATGGAATCTTGACAGACCCGAAAACAGAGCAACTATTTGTAATGCAACAACTATCTCAGAATAATATAGGAAGTATCCTCTAATAATTTTATTTTTTTCTGTATAGGTTCATCTCTTGAAATGAAATTGGATCTTGAATTTAAATGTATTAAACTAAAGTTTGGTCCGTCTTAAACTCAAGATTCACGTCCCATTTTTTTACTACCTTTATGGAAGTGATATGGTAATGAATCCTAATATATATGTAGTGTGGAAAGTGATACGAATGTTACACTGAGATATTTTTAATAACGTGATTTAATTAATAATTAAAAATAAACAGTTTTACAAAATTAAAATAATAATTGATTAGTTGGAGAGGAGGGTCGTGTTGAATAATAATGTATTATTTTAAAAGAGTTTACTGAAGGCTCAGTTTAAATGTGCGAATTTCTATTATACCATTATAGAACATGTTTTTTAATGGAATTGAAGACAAATCCGTAAATTTTAAGAATCTAAAATAATAGTTGATATGTTCTAGAAATAAGTTACAATAAAAAACAAATTAATATTTGATGCATGGATTCGGAATTAACACGACAGATAATATTAACAAAATACTGTATATCTGATCAGCAAAGGTATCCTTGAATATGCTCTAAATGTATGGTTAATTTCGTTTACTTGTACTGCGCACATCAGAATGCTCAAAATTTCTGTAAACACTTCAACTATTTAACTAGACTGAAACATGAAGTAATTAAACACGTGTAAGAACAAAATTGAAAATGGAAACTATTAATTTTAAAATGGAAACTAAAATTTTATTTTCATTAAACGATAAGCTCACACGCGGTTTATTACTATTAATTTTATATTAAAAATAACAGCCCTTTCTAGGAGCAGTAAACATTGTTCGTATAGTTATGGGCAAAAATTGCAAAAATTCATGTGTATTAAGACATCGTAATTATATACGCATTATCTCTCTCATATATAAATTAATATTATATATATTGAATGTATTGATGTACTATAAAGTACACATAGAATCGGAAGTTCCCGAACTCGATGTAGAAAACCAGACAGCGTATTTATATGTATGTTACAAAGTAAACTAACTTTTACCATATTTACAATAGTACTCGTTTTACCTCCACCAATTTCTTTGTCAAAAGGCCAAGAAGTTCAGAATGTAAATTAAGGGAGCAATTTTTAATGCATCAAAAAGAACTTTTGATCTTTCAAAACTTGCAAAACCCGTTGAATGTGACATCTTACCGTCTTCACAATAGTGTACATTGAAGAAAGTAAATATTTACCGAGAACAAGCCGGAATCGTCGGTCGGATAATACGGCACTGGCTTTGTTGGTGATCGTGTGGGCCTCCATAATTGTGTCGGTGATCCTGCACTGAAGGAGACAGAACTTTGAGTGCTGAGAGCGTTTGAAGACCACTCGGCCGCAGGATCGAAGAATTTAGAGAAATCACCCACGCGCTGATGAAAAAACAATACGAAGTCACATTTCTCAGTGTCATTCACAATACACAATATTGGATATCCAACAGACACACTATTTCAGCGATAAGATAAAAATGACACAAAATTCATCTTTATAAGTTATTTGCCTCAACATCACTCAAAAATGAAACTATTGTCTTTCTTATCATAGCTGCCTCTTCTTTTCCTATGGACTGCTTACAAATATTCTCATGTAATTAAAATATGAATAGCACCAGTAATTATAAATCAACATGTCTGACACTACACTGAATGTACAGCAACCTACGCCAGTCGAATCATCCTGTGAACGAGATAAATATTCCTCTTTAAGTGTTAATATAATAATGAGTGTCTATTAGAGGAATGAATTTAAATACTTACGCCAAGCTCTCTATAACACCATTCTTCCCAGTGAAAAATATTCGCGTAGTTCAGACCTGGCTTAGCAAATACCATTATAGTTTCTACAACGCGTTTTCATTCAATAACTCTAAGAAAAAATGGCGGCAAACAAACTAATAACTTTGGGCGCACAAACAGCCAAGAAGCAATAGCGTTCATTTTTCATCGTTTTTATTTTTTAAGTCTATTGGCACTTCCAAATATTACATTATCAACAAATTATCAACAGTCTAAAGCTCTCTGAAAGGGTACGAAAAATCATAAATAAAAGGCTAGAGGGAATTAGATTTTAGACTTTTCCACCTATTCTTAACTGAATGAAAAGGTTAGCAGCCACGTGACTAAAATAAAGGCCTCATTCAAAAGTAACAGCGTGAATAACTTCCAATACTAACAGGGATGATCAGTTTGAACTTTCTAGCTGCAATTTCGAATCGTGTGCATGTAATACACTTCTTGCAAAGAAACGCTGTTCTATTATTCGATAATACTACCAACAGAGGTCAGCATATCAAAATCTTAAGATGAAAATACATCATGTCACTAACCCTCTTTACTGTACGACGATCCATTCAATAACAAAATAGAAAAAACGTCGTCGGATGACCGAGATCGTTAAGGCCAGAGAGTATATACCAAGGGTTAAGGCAGTAGTGCCCAAGCGATCTCGGTGTGAGGGATCGCGGGTTAGAGTCCCGTCCCGCCCATGTTTGTATTTGTGTTCGTCATTTCACCCCTCACCATCACTATAACACACCATATTGTTAACCATATCGTAAATCTACAGTGGTCGCTAATGATCTAGCTGTTAATGCAACCTTTGAAAAAACGATAAAACTTGTATTACTCGCGCAACTTTTCTTGAACGAAAAATTGAAGAAATGCACGTAAAGTGGGGGTATTAATTACGAAATCGGCTACTAGATTTTATGAAGCAATGCCAATCTCTGAAGAATCAATCGCGCCTTCGTAACGTTCTCAATAATCTGCGTTCTAACTTGATTGGTGTTGGAGTTATCTCCTGTGATAGATCTATACCTGCTTCGGTCATTTCATTAAAGTTTTGGAAAAAATAACCGATATAAGTTATTGTCTTCAGAAGAAAATTGTTTCTATTTCGCGCCAGTGAAGATGTGTTTGGAATGTTGTCATCAGCGCTCGCTGCGAGCTTTTACCTTCATTTGTTTGTTGTGCCGGAGAGGGAGAACAAAGGTCATCGTTGAAGAAAAGTTGCAAGAGTATAATTATTATTCCTTGACTAACAAATGAATAAAATGAAACAATCTACAGACTGTTTAAATTAAATTACTTCTAACACGAAAATAATTCGCATTCGACGATTACAATTAAACATTATATAAGTACCAAGGAGAAGTTTGTGCATTGAACTTTTTTTTTCTTCAGCACTCCCTGCCGAACTATTTTGAAACAAACTTATATGAAGAAGCCGTTTAAAATAGGTTTAGGCCCAAACACACTAATAGAAATCTTAATATAAATTTAATGATTTCTTCTGATATTTTAGGTTATGATTGCTTAAAAATCCTAAAATACCATAATATTACATCTGCCTCAACAACTTCTCAAGAAAAAATATACAAACCTAGAATTATTTCCGTTAAACATTACAAACCCTTCATACGATCTGCATATGGCAAAGTTAAGCTCATAATCATTACCAAAATAGTATTGCAAAATAAATTTCACGTTGAAATTTTTACTTATTAATAACAAATAATTTGCTACTTCACATTTTGTACATGAATTTATCATAAAGTTTTATGTTCATGCAAAACTCAGACACATTCAGTTAAAAATAAAAGAAGTGGTTGAATGATATTGCCCTATATGATTAAAATTTTTATAAAAGAAGTAGATGTATAATTTCTTTAACCCTAGTTCGTTAAATAATGTAAATCATAAAAATGTAACTACTCTTATATTTCAGGTAGCGTTTTTGGCACTCAAATACTTTCAGTATTGGACGTCAACTTGTCAGAACAATCAATCTCTGAACCAAATATTAAGCTCAACCAACTCTTTTCCCGACAGAATCGAAAAGTCTCTTCTCCAGTAGGGCTGGTAATTTGTTATATTTTTCTCTCCTCGTCTTGTTAGGTTTTCTGCTCAAACATAATTACAAATTTACTGCGGTCACATAAAAAAATACCTAAACATCATAAAATATATATAACTTTACGTAGATTACACCTCCCAAAAAATTCCCAGAAAGATTATTATCACTCATTATTCAAATTAAAGTTCTCTGGAGGTTGAAAAAGATATTCGTCAATAAAAATCCACAGAAAGGAATATGAGGGAAATCGCCCGCCCTCAAATTAATTTAAACTTGTCATGACACTCAAGCACAGATATTTTTGAATAATTAAAACAAAAAAATTGTATCTCAATATGAGCCGAGTGTAACCTGTGTCATTGTACATAATATGTAACACAACACATTTGACCAAAACATTTTGAATACACCCCTTCCAAAAAACTCGTGTAAAAAAAGGAAATGATAAATAACATTATATAATTCACAAACTTATTCAAATGTGCTTAAAGATAGTTATTTTTATAGAATTGAAATTAAGCGCTGGAAACTGCAGAAACTTTTGTAGTAATCATTTACACGTTAATTTAAATGTACGCTACATGAAAGGTGAATGCTAACAAGTATTATAATAGTATACGTTAATTTATTATTGCTTATTATATTTAGTTTAAGCAAACGGTTACAAAATTACGATTATGAAACAGTTTTTGAACGCAAGTTGGCAGCAATAGCTCTTGCAACAATGCGATAATATAAAGTGCAGACATTGTGGTTTTTAAATTTTCACATGCATAACCACTTCGCTCGGATTTTTTCCCCGGTATCCAGTGGCATTTGCCTGAAGTTTTAGTTGATATTTACATATTAGTTAATTCTGCAAATTGAGGGGTACTTGCAGGTGAGTGAAGTCATTATGCGCATTACGAACGTTATTAATTTATCGTTAATCACTATAGAAAGAAATTCCGTCATTAAATAGAGATGTAGTAGACTTAAAGAAAGATTATTACAACTTATAAATTTAAGATTTCAAATAAAGGTTCTGTGAAGGTTGAAATATATATTCGTCAATAAAAATTTAAAGTAAAATTCGAATGTCGAGTCTAGCGAAACTTTCAAGTATTTCACATGCTGCTTATCTCACGCTTTTCTAATTTTATATTATTCCTTTTTTTGTATTATTTTAAACTTTTATTCCTATTGACACTATTTATACTTAAAATGTGGAAATGGAATTCTGAACATCATAAAAACTTTTGCAAATTGCCCCAAAAATAGTTATTAAATTTTTTGACTAAACAAATAAAATGCTAAGTAACATTTTGTTATATTACTGCTTTGAAAGACATCTCTACCCGATTAATTGCTATATAAAGTCTTATCCATTGCACTTACGTTTGCTCATGCTGGTCGACGAATTGTCCTGTGCAGACTATAGATAATTCTGAAACAAATCTCGTTTTTATAAGTCGATTGCGGATCCCGGTCTTTTAATTATGGTTTCACAATCAATAAAGATATGTTATCTATACTTTTTATGCCAAAATATTCGTTTAAATGTTATACCTTAGATGAGACTGAATTTTTGTAGTATTTTTTTTAATTACGCCAAATGCAATTAAAAACTGTTTGTGACTTGCTATGGGGCGAAGTTAATTGAAATTACATGTATGAGCAGAAGCAAAACGAGGGGCAATATCAGCATATGCTCAAGGATCAGGGAAACGACGAAAACCTGAGAAAATGGGGGCCATTGACTCTGAAGCTGAAGTACAATTCTTGTTACAGGTTCTTTAGAATTATACAATCCAAATGGTTGATAATACTGTAAATGACGATGTTAAAATTAGTATTACTTTCCTTTTGGACGCTCGGTAAAGTCTCTAATTGTATAGAAACAGTTGTGCTGCAGAAAAAATTTTACTTAGGACTAAAACTTTTGTACTGCATTTAATTGTTTAATGTCATCTGGCAAGATGTAAAATAATGTACATATAGTCTGTGCGAATATTTTGTAGTAAGCTGTTGATACTGTCATGTGATGAATAAGATTACTACATCTTGTATTCTAGTTAGAGGTATCGGCGTTTGCTAAAATATATTCCTGGCATTAAGTATTTTTTACAAAGAAAAAACAATGAGACAAGTAAATAGTAAGATACCTAGAGTAGTAAAGAGAGACTTTTAAGAATCAAGTGGTGTGATTTGCTTATTATTCGTACAGTTATTGTTTTTTATTTATTCTAGCTTGGCCATTGGCCCTAAGCAGCCGCATAAGAAAAATTATTGTTTTGTAAAAAAGTCTGGGAGCTATAAGATGTATTTCCCCACAATAGTACGATATATCTCAGACGCGAACATTGGGGAAATACACATAACGGGCAGTATGGAGGCTAACTGAATTTGAAATAATTCTCAATGCCTAGCATAAAAATTTAATATAGCCTACGATTCATTTACATGGACGTTCCATTTAAGGTATGACTGAATTGAAAGACCTACAAAATTTCTTACATTAACATCCGTTAATGGTACATCGTTCACTTCAATGGAGTACAGAGCTGTTTATTTGAAAAGGAAAACTACATTGAAACAGTTTTATTTTTATTTACTATTAATTGGTTATTACGGAAACAATTTGAAATATCAGATATTTTACTGTTTCTTTATTGCGAAGAATATTCGTATCATTCGCAAAGAGAACTGTTCTTACGTTTCCAATCGTCGAGGTCATATCGTTTACGTATAGTAGGAAGATAATAATACCTAAAATCGATCCCTGCAGGAATGTGGATGCAAATGGCAAAGAATACGAAAGAAGTGTACATAATGTTCCATTATTCCAGTATGGTATTTCTACTCTCTGAGATCGTTGCTTAAGGTAATAACATAACCAATTTAGAGCAATACCACGAATTCCATACGATGGTAATTTTGAAAGTTAAGTATTATCAGTGACGTCAAAAGCGTGTGAAATATCTAAAAATATTCCAATAGGTGCTCCGTTTTGATCCATGGATGAGGCGACATTATAAACAAAAGAAAATAAGGCTGTTTCCGTAGATTTTGATTTTCGAAACCCATGTTGGCATTCTAAAAACGCGTCGTGTTTACTAAGAAAGGAGTCCATTCGCATGTTAAAAACTCTCTCTAATATGTTTGAAAAAGCCCACAAAATATCAATTGGTCGATAATTTTGAATTCATGTTTTGTCACGTTTCTTTACAATCTGAGGTGTTTTAAACATGGTTGAAAACTTCCTTTGCATAAGGATACATTAAATATGCCAGTTACTGGGTGTAAATGGCGGGTGCACGAGTCTATAACAAACAATCCGGAAATTCATCTAAACTGGTCAAAAACTTATTTTTTAGATACTTAATTATTTTGAGAAGTGCATTGGAAGAAGTTTCGGAAACTAAGATAATGTCTAATTTTTGGGGGAAAAGTCTGATTATACGCCTGAAGACCCATAGTGAGATCTGCAGCAATTCTCAAAAAGTATTCGTTAAAGAGACTAACCACTGTTGCCGGATCGGACTCATTTCTATCGTTTTCATGTAAAACAACATTCTCTGCAAGGTTTGTAGTTGATTTAGTCGACATTTTATTATATTCCACATTGCTTTTGTTTTATTAGTTCAAAATATCGTGATCATGTTTCATGATTTTAGCCTGCCTTTTGACTTTTCTTAACAATGATTTGTATTTTTTTTTAAGTAGAGAAGGAAATCTTGAGAAACGTTATTATTCTTAGAAATGAGGGAAAGAATTCTTGTTTCATAATGGTAAGAATTTGTGCATCGTCATCACTGTATTCTACATCTTTTGTTGCAATTTCATATCGAGTAGGGGTTTTGTTAATTATTATTTGCTCGATAACTATCTTTGAATTGAATGTGATCCGTGTAGGTAAATTTATTGCAATGTCTAAACTGAAGGAATGATTTTAGTAAAAAAAACTGCATTTTCTCGCAAAATTCAACCAGAAAATCAGTGTTAAAATCTCCGCATTCAACAATGGATTCAAAAGAGATATTTGTGACTTTGTTTAGTGTCATCTCCAAGTTTTTTTTAAGAACATAATATAATGCTTTCTTTGTTGGAATCCTGTAGATGCGAAGTAATATAATTCTTAGCGTAGGAAGAAGTAACTACATTGATTTCAAAAAAATTTTCAACGGAAAACACATTTAATTCCGTGAAGGAGATAGAATTGATATTATTTCTAACGGAAATCCCCAAATGCTTTACCTTTATGCGAATATCTACAATTCATTTAAGGTCGTTAAAGCGAGATACGTGTTATTTTGAACTTGCCATTTATACCATTAATCAAAAAATACAAGGTTTTGCTACGTTCTGTATATAAGTTTCAATCGATTTCACCTTCTAGCTTTCTATTAATAAGGCCGTAAAGTCGTAGTTTTAACACGTGTCGCTTAAGAATACCTGACAGAGCACACCTGAAATTTTAAAATTTTGAGAAAACTAAAAGCTTAAAATGTTTTTAAAAATTCTTTTTTAGGTAGCTAGCATATCAATGAATCAATTCGCGCAATTTGAAGGACATCTATTGTTTCTAATTGAGGAAATTTGCACAATTACAAGCCTAAATTAGTCCAAAAAGACACGTTCGCGACCTTTCTTTTAGATGGTCAAAACGGTAATGCGCAACTCGCCAATAAGGCGCGCTCCCTTCAAATAGTGTGGCAAGTGCACTGTAAGAGATCTTAGAGCATGATAGACCCACTTACTTGGTAAATTTTGACCATTATTACCTATCACTGTAAAAAGAGATATGTAGATACGAGATCTGTTCAGAAAATTTCCGAATTGTTTGTTTAAAAAAAACTTCATTTTTAATTTTTCAGGTTATTGGCTCTTGTCCGCTTGAAGGTATTCGCCTCCTATTCTCACACTCTTCTCAGTGGTGTTTCCATTTCGCGAAGAAGCTCTGGACAGCTCCAAATGTTCCTTAATGTCTGTGACGAATTTGTTGTGATGTCAACTACAGACTGAAAACAGCGGCCTTCCACCACTGATTTTAATTTCAATACAAGAAACGAAAAAAACGTAAGGTGCCAGGTCTTACGAGTAAGGCGCCTAAAGGAACAGAGTGTAATCTGATTTTTGGCCCCAAACAGACGGATGGACAAAACTGAGCGAGCCGGGGTGTTGTGGGCGAAGAACCATAAGTTGTTTCGCCACAACACTGGGTCTCTTTGCGAATTTTATTACGTAACCGTTTTAACACGCCTCTGTATTACACGCCATTTTTATTTTTCCATCTTGAGGCAAGAATTCAAAAAACACAATTCCATTAAAGTCGAAAACTAGTGGTGCTACAGAGTGACACTGGCTTTCACGTACTATAGCTCGACTCTAGAAAAAAAAAACATCATAGCGTCACTTACCTCAAGAGGCGTGTTTAAGCCATATCCCAGTGCTCTCGAAAAAGGGAGCTCAGTTGAACTCAAGGACAGAGAGCAACGATAACTGATTTGCTCTTTTAACTTCAACACTCTAAATATGAACGACGTAAGAAACGCGTCAACAAAATAATATTTCTATATTTTTTTAAAAAACTGACGAATACAGCGTTATGGCGTTCATTTTATCTTAAAAAGTATATTGGCTACTATCCCTTTCAGAATTTAAAGAAAAAATTGGAGCCGTTTTTGAAAACATTTTGTTGATTAAAAATTGTACATATCACGCAACATTGAACGAAAACTACAAGTTCTTAAATATGTGCTTTGCATTAATTAAAGAACTAATGATACACAACATATTTCATTAGAAGGAAATATACAATTATTTAGTTGTAGAAAGTCCCCGAATAATTTCATACTTTCGCAATTTTCAAAAATTCAGTGTTAATAGTGAAAATAGGATCTACGCTACCTTATAAGCACATTTTACACCAATCTTACAATAAGTTTACGAAAAATGAGAATCCATTTTTGAGAACGTTTTGAAAAAGTCGAATGTCAAGTACCTTAAATTTTGAAGAAAGTTTTTCAAAACCACTGCGCCATGAGTCGAGCCAGATCGAATGGGGAATATTCATTTGGGAAAACACCCTACGCATTGTTTACGCGCTAGGGGTGTTTACAGACGGACCGGCGTTTTGAAAAAACAATTTTTCGGAATCACAAGACTCCTAAACGTGTATTTCCGTTTAAATACTGAAATATATTTTCCGCAGTATTACATAACTTTCTTTTTAGTACGTATATTCATCCGAATATACGTACGCATACGAGAAAAAACAGTGAGTGCTTTGAATTTGTGTCAAGGCTTTCATGATTTCTTGATGGGTGGATTTCCTTTACCAATCCATTGTGATAACTTAATTTATGTCTCAATGTCATCTCGATAAGATTGTTTCAAAATCTAATATATTTCTGTGAAAGTTATCGCCAGTTTCACGCAAAATTTTAAGTTGCATCGTTGTTTCAGAAAATCGCGCATTTCAAAACTCCGCACTAACACACACGTTTCACTTAAACAACAATAATATTGAAAACTAAACAAGACATCAACAATCCAAGAACATATGGATAGAGGATATTGTGAATAACACAATGCAGGCAACCGCAAGTCGAAATATCTGCATTAGTGAGAAAAAATTTGGTAAGTTTCTGAACATACTTCATATGTCTATAATTTTTCTTTTTATAAATTTGATCTTGCTAATTGTTCAATAGTGCTATTTCATATTCAATCTATACATTGATTTATTTACAATGGCTCCTCCAAGTTAAGTTACGCTGTGTTGCAACACGCTAGCACGTGATAAGCACATGGCTGCGGCCATCGGTCCCAGCCGAGAAGGAAGCTTTCTTAACACTAATGACGTTGACTTCCAAATTGGGGACTGCCTTCTCTCTCCCTTTTACGAACTTAAACTTGAGTATATGCTTCAGTTTTTCATTCCTTGGCAACAAGTCAAAGCATACTGTGACTGAGAAGGATCGCAAATATAACATCACCATGGCTGCGCAGTCCTTCGTCAACATCAGGTCTACACAGGAAGTATCGCGAAGGTTGCGTGGATTGGAAAACTGAGCAACTGGTGATTAGAGGAGAATAGAGAGAGAGCAAAAGTTTGGGTCACCTCGTTGGGAACTATAACCATTCACATTCCATTAGAAGAAAGTCAATAGACGTGTAGACTACTATTACTTCTCTCGTTTTCGAGGCGTGGATCTGAAGAAGGAATCGACTCCAATGGATATATTTTCTATAGCATATTCTTCTAAAGACCTTGTCATCACTGCAATAGAGAGCACTTCTAGCTGTTCTCAGTTACCTTCAGACGTTTAACCATGTAGTCGTGACATTGATAATTATCACTGACTTGGAGAAGAAATTAGGAGA